ATTCTATTCTATTCTATTCTATTCTATTCTATTCTATTCTATTCTATTCTATTCTATTCTATTCTATTTGAATTGGTTATATTAAATTTCCTCACCTGAGCTTCCAACAAATGACAGCCTGTTTTGTGGTGTACTAGTTGGCCATAGAGGTGAACTGGCAAGTAGACATGGGGCCGCTGTAATCTGTGGGGAAGAAAAACAGTCAATTTGCACTGAATTAATTCTAACAATTTTAAAACCATCTGCATAACTATAGGCATTGCTTTAACAAATGAGTCAAGGTTGTTTTACCTTTGGTTGCTCCGACGGACATAATTATCACCATCAACAGGTTTGCGGTATGTAGTAAGTGCTTCATTTAGTTGTTCTTCTATCAAGTCAACATATTTTAAATTGTATTCCTAGGATATAATTGAATACAGAGATCTTCAGAAAAACATTTTCTCTAGCAATAAATTATATTAATAAACACATTACATAATGACCCAGGTAAAAAAAATATTTCCTAATACCACTATGATAAAATACTGACTGGAAGTTGATTTTATAATCAAAATGATTCAAAAGCATGTCTCTATGAGAGACAATAAGATGGAGCAAGATCAATAAAGTGCAATTCCCACTGATTCAGGTTCACAATTTTACAAAGTAAGCCTGATTATTCTATACAACTCTTCTATTTGGTTATAAGTTTATTTTTCTATAACCAATTGGGATAGTTGGCATCAATGATAATGCCTTTCCTTTCATTAGTTACACCAAGACATTCATCATGCAAAATAGTCAAAAGATAAGCTCTCCCATTATTAAACCCACATAGCCCCTTTCAGTAGGGCAATACTTTCACAGGTTATGAGGAAATGTTAGTTTACCTTCAGCAAGCACTTCTAATGAAAAGGGCAATTTTGGATAGGATTTAAAGACAAAGCAATTTAAAAAACTTACGTCTGATCCACATTCTCCAAATTAGTCTTATCCAAAATTGCCCTTTTCTGACTTTTCTTCTTCCATCCAAACAATATTACATGTGATTTACCTTCAAACAATTTTAATACTACAGTAGAACCTCTGGTCACGAACACTTCTGATCACGACCAAATCGGGTGACGACCAAAAACATGGAAGGATCTGAATAGGTACAGGTGGTAGTTCTTGCTACCTGGGACCAGAACTTCCATCCTTAAATCATCTGGTTTTTAGCTATGTATCAAGTTACCACACTGTTTAGTGACAGAATATTCAATAGTCCTGTTTTTGCTCATCAGACTAGAACTGCACTGTTGTTAGGTAAGGATCTTATGCTTTTCTTGCCCTGCCATGCTCATCTCTGTTTAAACTCCTCTCACCTGTCTATTTTTCTCCATGTCTACTGTTTTGGCCACCCTGCTGTTTTCTTCCTCTTACTGCCATCATAACTTCAAACAGTCTCTGAATGAATGGTTGTTAAGCGAGCACCACACGTATATAAAATTATTCTGAAATCAATGCATTAATAGTCTTCCTTATGAGCACTTGTGTCCCTAATATTTGCTGGTAACAAAGTAGGCTCAGGTAAAGCTGCAGCGTAATAGCTGACACATATAACAGAGTTCCAAGGAATGATTCCAATTTGATAATTAAATACCTTCTGCCATTTCTCCATTTGTTTTGTTACATAGCCTCGTTCATTTAGATAGGAAAACCCTTTGGGGATTGACAAAAATCTGAACAAAACAAAACAAATCATTGTTTATAAAATACATTCAGAGCAAATGCATATTAACTACCTTGTTTTCACCTGAACAATACAGTAAACATTTACCTTAGCAGCAGAAGCATACCCTTGTCTCCTAGGTGAGAAAGTGCTGGTTTCATTTGAATGAGGGCATGAAGATTAGCCTAAAAAAAGACAAGAGAGACAGAGTTAATGTGATATAATAACAATATAATCATTAATATAATATATAAGCAGGATTAATATAAAAATAAGGCTTACTTCTTCTTCAATTAAATAACAAGGTCTCACCTTGTCTTCACATGCTTCATCAAGGATATCAAGTGCTTCAGAAGAAATAGCTTTATTTTTGTCATGAAGCTGTGTGACAAGTAACTCAATTCCCCAATTACTGAAGAATTCTACATTGGCCCTCAGAAGTACGCGGAGGTGTTTTGTAGCATACAACCTACAATTCTATGAAAGAAAGAAACAGATCATTGGAAAACCAGAAAATGGAACAAGATTAGCAATTGGGTTTACATATACAACATGTCATTGTACAGTTAATGTTAATTTCAAATCAAAACCAAGGTTGGAGTCTACTTGATTCATAAGCTTCTGCCATCCATAATATTTTCCCCAAATACATTTAAATGAAAGAAAATAAAAAACAAGATTAGGTCCCCTGCTCCAATATTCTCCTTAAATGGGAAAGGGAAGAAATAACATCAGTTTCACTATAATTACAGTAAAAGACACATACAGGCTTTTTCTAACAACCTTGTAGTGGTTTTTTTTGGGGGGGGGGAGTGGGAGAAAGACATTTAATTCAGGATCAGATTTCTTTGGGTTATAGTGTTTAAGTGTACAATCATACTTAAAAATTTGTGAATCCCTTTAAATTTTCAATATTTCTGCATAAATGTGAACTAATTAACTTGGACAGATATGGTAAAGTAAACCACAGCAGAAATAATAATTGACGCTAAAGAATTCCCTGAGAAATGTATAAATGGCCACATATAATGCAGCTTTATAAATTCAACTTTTTCCATGGCTCTATGTAAAGGTTTACTTTTGTTTAGCATGTTTCACTGTGTTTTACTGTAACAATTTATTTAAAATTGGTTATATTTATATTATTTTATGACTATGTTGGTATTATATTTCACAGCCTAAAACAGCTGAGGAGCCATGAACATGGCAGATGACTAAAACCAAATAAATAAATAGCTTACTTTTGTTAAGTTTATATACAGTATTATGATATATTTCTTACCATCTTTCAGGACATTCCTTTATAAGGGTATGAAGGCTAAAAGAAAATGGCTGACTCAGATCACCCAGTTAGTTTCAAGCTTATGTTTGAGAAAGGATTCAAACATTTCAGCTTCTGTACCATACCATGAAAACATGAATAAAATAATCTGCCTTTCACTTACATCGGTTGATGCTGTCAGGATTTTAGAAAGGATGACTCTTGCTAAGCCATCTCTGCTGTAGTCTAAACTAGAAACTGTCAGTTTAAGTAAATGATCTTGGTTCTTCAAGGAACACAGATTAAGGAGACTGGAAAGAAATGAGAAATGAATAGAATTCTAATACAAATATATTCTTATAACTAAAACAGAATCTAAAAAGATATATTCCTAGTTAAAAAAAGCAGCGTGATCTCTACCTACATTTTTTTTAATTTTTCTGTTCTTCCATTGATGTCTCTGCTACTATTGAATTTTCAAGTTACCTGGGGCAAAGAATAACTTTGCCTAGGTTACTTTCCAATAAATGTTATGTATTTATTTATATGAGTTCTATGTCTGTCCATCTCAATAAGTGACTCTAGGTAGTATACATCATAAAACACACAATAGTATTATTATGGCATTTAAACAATGCATAATAATTTTTTCTACTATTTTTCCAGGGGAAATGACAAGTGCTTAGCTCTCATTACATTCTATAATTATGAAATGTTTACTCAAAAAGCATTAAGAATGTATTTATTTTCTTCAACAGTCTTTTAAATTGCTGGTAATTTGTGTTCAACCTTTTTACAAATAAAATCTAAAATAACATTGCTTCTCCAAAAATAAAAAAGTTAATGTCAACTAGTCACAGCTAACTATAGTTTACCACACATTCAATGATGACACACATTAAGATAATTTCTATATTTAAGTTTCTGGAACCTCAACATTTCAAAAACTATTTTTGTAACTAAATACATACCACTGAAATACATTACACTTTTCAAGCATTTTCACTCCGTGGGGATGACAGGAGAGGGTACCAAAAAATAAGAAGTAGTGCTGACTAAGTGTGTTAAGTAAACCATTGTTCTGGAGACTGCGTTCTGGTTTCAGTCCCGAAGAAATGTTAAGCCAGTGCACAATATCTCTTACTAACTCTTCGAGATAGCCATGCCCATCCTGCTTTAAAAGGAAAAAAAAAACTTTATTCAGGTTACTTTTAGCAAATTTTCCTTGCTCGAAAAACAAACAAACAAACAAACAAGCCCTACAACAATACATTTTCAACTTTTCTGGGGTATAAAACAATCAACTGCTCAGTTCCACAGAAAAGTAAAACAAAAGGAAAATATTATAAAATTTCTATAATGTATGATATTTCAAAATCTGTGCTTAAGTCAAAGGATATGTAATACAGAAAAAAATACAAAAAAAAAGTTTGCAACAATACTGGGAAGTTGTTTTTAAGAAATTTAGATTTCATGTGAAATGTGGAGACAGTCTTGATAATGCCTTAGATGATTTTAATATAAAGTGAAAGTCATTCCTACGGAGATTATGGCAGCAATAAATATAAACAATCCACAGGCAATCCACATTTTTTCCAAAGCTACCAATGGGAAGAGAAGGTGCCAAGTCAAAACCAGGTTTTGGCAAAAGAGAACTTAATCTTCTGTCGTTTTCTTCTACACGTTAATGAGTTTTGCCAAAAGAAAATCAAGAAAAAAGAAAAGGAACCGAAACAAACAATTCTGATTTACCTTTTGCACATCAAAGAAAGTTAGGAATGCAAAAGGTGAACATGTAGAAACTGTAGATAATTGTTAAGTCTGTATCTACCTTTTGTTGCACCTGCCTTCCTTCCTTCTTTCCTTCCTGTCTTCCTTCCTGAGGGGCAAAAGGGCATGTTGATTGACCCATGTATCACTTCCACTCAATATTCTGAAGCAGATCAGGCCAGTTCATACTACCGTTTTTAGTTTTAATTTCTAAATGCATCTTCTTAGAATGCATCTTGAAGCATGAAAGACATAAGTGACTTTTGCAGTATAACTAAAATTTTATTGTTTCTGAACTGATTGCAATTTATGTGTTATGTGTTTGATTAATAAACTTTGAAATTGGTTGGTGTGCATTAATTAGTTATTTTTTATAAGTAATCTGATTGTTCCAAAATGTTCTGCTGCCTCAGGTACTTAAACAAAAGATGTGGCATTACTACTTGACAAGCAGTCAGACTAAGCAGAAAATCTACTTAATCAGGCACCATTTAATTATGTTTATTTTATATTCCCATGTAGTGCAAAGTTAAGGAGAGGAATAATCATTTCAAAGGATTTTACGCATGCCGTACTTTTTTAATTTTTAATTTATTTATCGAAGCAAAACATTACCAATATCTTTTATGTTACATTTCTACTATAACTTAGAATAAGCATATATTTTATGAATTCTATTTTTGCCCCCAAATTAAGCTGCATTTCCTACTTAATTGTAAAGATTCAGAATTAAATTCTTCCATTGAAATATTTCCTGTTTTGATTATTTGGTAAAAATGGTACGATTTTGCATTTAGCATAACATCAAATAGGTATCTGCCAGTCTTTAATTATGGCTAAAAAAGTAAATAATTTTTACCTCTTCAGATTCAAGGAGAAATTCAGTAAATTGACAACCAACAACTGTGAGCTGTTTTGACTTTGCATAATCGAGATCTAGATTGGCATACAATTTACTGCTAGGCTTGTAAAAATACATCAGCCGCCGTACAAATCTAACATCAAACGAAAGAATGAGGCAATTAAAAAACATAACTAAAGGCTTCTGACAATGTATGTACCTGTTTATAGTTATTTATATTACAAGGTAATAGTTTCATCGATCTTAAATCAAAAGGAAATTTTTACAAAATCTGTGACATGAAATCTAACTTGTGCCTGAGGTCTACTCTCAAAACTATACTCAATAGCCTGTGGAGAAATGATAGAGAACTTTTTCTGTAGCAGTTTCTGTTTTGTAAGACATTTACTTCAAGTAATGATTAATATGACCTCTGTCACTGATTCTTCCTATTTAACAAATCTTCTTTCTTTATCCCAACAAGGGATTTTTTTTTAGACTGAGGAGTTTTGTGCAGTTAGCAAATTTCCTTTTCAAGCAATACTTCTGAACCCATGCAAGTACCATAGGTGATTATTATATTTTATATTACATAAATGGTAGCAGTAACTTATTAGGAAATCTTATACACTTTATTTCTCTAACAACATATAAGCTAATAAAGACTGCAGATGGGTGTTTTCAACTCTGAATTTGTTAATGTTTAAATCCAGCAAATCTTTCTCTTATCTACAAATGTGAACCTACCAACAATTTTTCATATCCCTTTGCTAACTTCAAACTCGTATAACCCTTTTCTTGAATAGACACAATTCAATATAAAATTTTGAGATGAATATATTATTTAAAAGTAGTCAGTCAGAATAAGTTTTTTTTTTAATTGGTGGGAGGGAAAAAGAAAAAAATATTTGTCTGCCATCTTGCACTTACAGAATCTGATTTTTAATTAAATGAAATATGTGAGAAATATAATGTAACAAGTGCTTCTCAAAACAAGAGACAGTTCTTACTGAAAGTTATAAAAGTAAATAGGAACTGCAATATTTCAGAGCTATCACATGATACAAGGTATCAAGCGTGGTCATCCCATTCAAATTTTTTGCAACTCAAACCTTGCCTGGCCAGCTAAATTTTAAACCATGTAGGGGTACATCACTATGCTTCCGTATGAAGTTTTACAACCAGAAAATGGCCAACAGAATACTTATATAACTAGAAGAACCTTTTTTTTATAAAGAACCTTTTTTATGATCTGCTGTGAGATGATCTCACAAACTCAGTGGCTAAGACAATAGTATAATTGTTATTTTACTTTCAAAACCTATCCATTTGTTCAACACCCTTAAGAATAATCTCTCGTGTCTTGTATCCATTTCAGAGGGCTGGTAGTTCAGCATCTGAAAATAACTGTTTACACCTTTTTTCCTTCTTATGTGGATGCCATACTTGATTTATGTTTCTTTCTGGATCTAAAATAGCTGAAAACAGTTTCATTTACAAGAAGCTAAATTCAAAATTATTGGAGGAAAAGACAATTTAATTTCTTTTTTTTCTAATGTATCAACTTCTACCTAAAATGTTACAAGAACAACAAAAAAGCAAAATTGAAATTTTTTTGTAATTATTTTTGTCCATATAATAGACAGTTTCATACCTGTGCAACTGTTCATCCTTGTTAGTCTTTAAGTTAATATTTGGCCACTAAAAACAGCAAATATAAAGCATGGTAAGAATTATTTCAATTAATGTCTTGTATTTCAATTCTTAAATGCTAATTAGAGTATCATCATACTGTACATCTGACCTTAAGTATGGTCCCTATCAAATTCCAATTCCATTCCAGATTTTCTTTGTGATGAAGAACTTGGCTATCTCTCAGATTCATTAATAGTGCTTCTTCAGTATCCTTCAGCAGCAGAAGGGAAAAGAAAAATAAGTTAATTCCGTTGTAAAGTTGCTTCTGTGTTACTAAACACATTTCAAAATAACCACACCAAAATTTAAATTTTTTAAAGAAAATAAAACCCAAACCTCAGAGTTGAACTAGTATCTAGTGAGACAGGCTCCCACTCAAATGAAAAAAAAAGTTAGGCTTAAAATTACTATCCATTATAAAAGGAAGGTTTAGTTTAAAGATTATATACTGGTAAGTATTATATTCTTTTGATGACAAAGAACCTAGATAAGTCTACCTTAAGAATAAAGATATCTTTCTGCACACGATACTGATCTCTTCGCAGATGGGTTGACATAGCTTTCTGGACAATGTGATCTAGATGAAGACTGTATGGTTTAGGTCCTCTTTTCTTCATTTCATGAAAGCGTTTCAAGCAGTTCAGTGCAGCACTGGCTCGTCTACCAGAAGAACACAATAATGCAATTACTACACTTAATAAGGATCTGAAAGAATTGGTATATTCTGTAAATCGCAGGGATTTTTATGCTGACATGGCTTGACAGCTTATTGATTTGAATCCACTACAAACCAAGTCCCATTTCAGGAGTTTAGATGAAATGGCAATTATATAACTCTGATATTCTTAAATATGCATGCTTTGGATCATTTTGTTTCATTAACAAGTAATTATCAAATACAGGTAGTCCTCGAATTAAGACCACAATTGAGCCCCAAATTTCTGCTGCTAAGTGAGAGAGTTAAGTGAATTTTGCACCATTTTACAATCTTTCTTGCCACAGTGGTTAAGTGAATCGCTTCAGTTGTTAAGTGATTGTTAATTGAATCTGATGTCCTCATTGACTCTGCTTGTCAGACTGTCACATGATCCCATGACACTGCAACCATCATAAATATGAGTTGCCAAGCACCTGAATTTTGATCACATGATCATGGCGATGCTGCAATGGTTGTGTGAAAAATGGTCATAAGTCACTTATTTTCCAGTGCTGTTGTAACTTTCAATGGTCACTAAATGAATTGCTGTAACTTGAGGACTACCTGTATTAACAAAATTTGAATATAATTTACATATAATTCTAGAATAATTGATTTTGCAAATTATTGGTTCTTACACCAAGAAATAACTCCTGAAAATGTTAATAAAATTGAAATGATGAAAACAAAATACAAGTAGCTCACTACCAATAGTGCTCTCTGGCCATAAACAGAAATAAAAAAAGTGAGTAAAAGTGAGTTTGAATAAGTGCTGCTGATGCAGAAATATGCCAAATAAACTTTATGAAGTATGTACAATTTAGACAAATATAGTGGGTTCAGAAAGTATTCAGACCTCCTTCACTTTTTAAAATTTTGTTATACTGATTCTACAGTAGAACTAGGCTGCTGCAGCATAATAAAATTGACAAAAGTAAAGGGGTCTGAATATTATTTGAATGCACCATATATGTTGTTTGCTTCACAGAATATATTATAAGGTATATAAGGTTTTCAAATTTGCATCTAGACTCTAACTGAAATATAACATGTAAAGAAAATAACTGGCAATTTCAAAACCAGAAATCAAGATTATACTTGCTTTATTTTGAAAAGAAACACAATCTGTCTTAATACAAAGGAAGTTTTCAGGTGAAAATAATAATACAGAGAGCAAAATCTGCTGAGCAGTGTTATTTGTGCAACTGGTGTTACTCTGCTGATGGAAAGCTCTTTGATAGAGCAGGGACTACCATCAACAGAAAAAAGGAGAAAACTTTCAGTGAGAAGCATTTCTATCTTTCTGACTCATCAGTATTCTATTTTGATAACTAAAATGTATAAATATGTATTCTGATGTGAATGAAAGCTGAATGTATACTTTTATCTTAGCATATCTAAGCATGTTATTAACGGTTTGCTTACAGTCTCTTCTCCTTTACAATGTCAAAAGAAGCTGCCATATTCATTAAAGTTGGTAAGCAGTGTAAATGATGGCTGTGACAATGTGGAAGAATGGTGTTTGCCTGAAAAAGAAGAAAGAGCTTTAGAGGTTTGAAACGAAGTTCAATTTATTCCACCTACTCACCCCTATACCGTGAAACCTGTTTTACTTTAATGCTATAAGACCAGAGCTTATTTCAAATAATATACTTAATAAAAATACATTATGTTAAAAATACTGAATTGGGGGAAAACTTCCTTAATTGCTTGCCTTGCTTGCAGCAAAGGAAACAGCACAATAGATCTCATGGAAAAGCCATTCACAAAATATTACTATTAATTAAAGTAGGCGAAAAAGCAATTGGTCAATCCTAATCTAAAACGGACACCTTGCTGAAATAATGAATTATGACCTGAAAATGTTACTTTGTATTTTATTAACATCTCAAGTTAATAAAAGAAACTTAACTGTGTTGTCTTAAATGAAGAAAAGACAAAGATTTCAGGATCATCAGCAATAAATTGAAAACAAGCAAGATTTTGCAGTAAACTGTCCACATTTTACAGATTAGGCAACTCTAATTTGTAGACCAAACCCAGAAAACCCTTATATTTTAAGATAATAAAAGAGGGAAGGAAAAGTTATTTTTGTTACTATCTCTCTTTTTTGCTAAAGTAAGACAACAACTTGAATGTGTCTTGGCACTGTTTTTCTAAGTTTTGAATATTATTTCCTTCTCCTTTACTACCGGAAATGAAATCCAACAGTACTTATTAAAATGAATAGCAGCTAATCAGCAAATGAAAGTTAAGTCTCTCTTACCATATGCAAAAGTTCCCCCAGTAAGATAGTTGCTCTGACAGATATATGATCATTGCTGCTTGTGATTACTTCAACTAGACCCTGGAATAATTAAAGAAATAAAATTCTGGATATGTGGTGCACATATGACATCCGTGTTACTTTACACTGAACATATTGTACTAAAGAATGGAATTTTTTTGCAATTTAATTTAAAATCTGAACTTACTTCTAAGAGTCCATTTCTAATGAAAGCAGAGAGAACCAGGGCCAAGTAATTGTCCATGAGGTCAGGCCTGGATAAAATAAAAAAATAAAAAATGACAACATTCATATTTTTTTTAAAGAAAAATCTATTTCTTTATCAAAGTGAGACAAAAAGATGTATTCTACTTGGGTGGGTAAGAGTTAAGTACCTGGATCTGGCTCGGTGAGGTAATATAACTTTAGCTTCTGCAGCTACAAAGCCATCAGAAAGTCTCCAGCTGTCCTGAAAATGGCTTGGATCTACACAAATAAAAATGTGGAAACGAATTCTAAGTTTAAAGATGGGCAGCTGAAAACCCTGTAAAATTATGGCATGGCATTTCTCATGTGATTTGGCATTATTATTTCTCACTGTTTCCTTAGCAGTTCTAACTGCTATTTTGCAGTGCTGGGAGAAAGTTCATGCTTGTCTTGCACACATCATTAAAAAAAATCTTAAGTTTAAAATCTTTCATGCATGATAGTGATAGCTGAAATAAAAATAATTTTTAAAAAGTATCTCATATATTAGCAATTTAGACAACAAATGACTTCCCTCAGAGGGGCCCCTTATATGTGTCATAAATAAATGCTTAGAGTTGTATATCACGATTCAAGTTTATGAAAGAAAGATTACTGCATAATTATTACAATTCAGCTGCAGTTAAAGTCCCCAATACAGCACCAGATAAAGAAATTCTCCTCGATCTTCCCAGCAAATACCATGGAGCATTTCCCCAGATCTAATACTAACCTACACTGAGAAGTGCTTCTATAAATTCTTCTGTCACAACAGGAAGAGGAAGACGAAATATATCATATAGAACTTCAAGCAAGCCTCGCTGTAACATAAACAGGAATAGGATTACAAAAATGAGCAGAAATATATTTATACGAAGCTAATATCAAAGAAATACAACTCAGACACTGAAAAATATGGCCACCTTCTTCAGGGTACCTGATGTCCTGTTCTAATAGCCGATAATGTAACTGTTTATTAAACATTTGCAGCAGGAATGAATGCTGAGAACATGTGATGGATGTACTGACACTTTGTCTTGGGATGGGGTTGCCCAATCACAAAATGACTACCATGGTGGGACATCTAAAGCAACAACTGTTCCAAGAATTTGACTTGGCAAATGTGGCTCCCTCTCCCAGGATACTGATTTATGTTTTTTGTTTTTCTGAAGAGTGGGGAACAGGTAGGCATTCTACAAAATAAACCATTAGATTGCATATAATGTACATCAATACTAGCATGTTTTAGGAGTTTTTTTTTCTTTTTTTAAAAAAGCCATCTTTTTATAATGGTCTTTCCCAGCCATTAAACTCACAATATCTTTACATTTAATCAACTGCTTTTATTTTGCTTTACTCTGACTTTTTTTTACAATTATAATAAATTGCTTTGTAATAGGAACTCTAGAAAACAGTTGTAATAAATAAAAAATAAACAATCCGTATTGCGCTAAATAATGTACGGCAGCTAATGTACAGTACGCCAAAATGAGTAGATTAAGTTTACTGAATATGATGGCAATTCTCATGTTTCCATTACATTTTTTAAGTTCTGTTGAACTTTAAACCAAATTGTGATTTACAACCCCTTAAAACAAAACTTAATACAAGCAATCTCCACAAATACTGATGGCAACGTCTGGCAGTGCCTCTGACATGTCCTCAAATAGAATATAGATGCCTAAGAAAATGCATGTTACAAATTTCCTAGATTAACAGTATTGTGAGAAGTGAGTGTGGCCTGTGAAGAACATGCAAACCTCATAATTCTAGCTGCAGAAGTTGAAAACTTACCCGCACTTCCATGTTAGGTATACATAACACCCCAATAAGAGATTGGATACCAGAATTCCCAGGCTTACACAAACTAATTATACCTGAAAAGAAAATGAAAGGCATAATTATATAATGGTAAGAGAAGTTCTGTTTTGTTTTTACATCTGAACACATAAGCAGACACTTTGTTACAGTTTCAGTCTGTTAAAACCCAGTCTGTTGGAGTTAGGCAGCCAATAAAACCAAGCAGGTAACCCTCAACTTACAATCAGTTGCCTAGTTCAAATAATGATGGACCTCCGCAGTATACTTTCAACCCAAAGTTATGATGGCCATCTCCCACCCCTGCAAATCAGATGATCACATTTTGGGCACTTGGCAATAGGCCTACATTATAGCCATTTACAACACTCCACACACATATAACTCTTTTATGATGTTTTTGTCCAAAAATCAGCATGTATTTCTTTTGGCAAAACTGGCCCATAGTAAACAATTAGTTTGCTTAATGACCACTGCAAAAAAAGGTCGTAAAATCAGGCCAGCTCTTTGGGCGACCCATTTTAGGACTGTCACAACTTATGAGCAAAATGGACAGGCTCCATTACTGTTGTAAGTTGAAGGCTACTTGTAAACAAACCATAGCAAGTTTTTAAAAAATCAGAAAAAAATGAGTGCATCAATACATTTAAACATCTTCTTGTCTAGTGCATGTTATTGTTTTTTTCTGCCCTGAAAGCTAAACATTTAATTCATCCTTTCTTACCTAAAGAAATTTCCAATCTACAGTTTGCCTACAACAGGAAAGTTTTATTTCCAAGTGATTCTGCTTACATCTATAAAACATCCATATACTACTAAAACTCTGCTTCATGTAACCTTTAACTGGGTGAACCATGATATCCCAAATGGGTTAATTTACAGAAAGCATTTATAATATGAGATCCATGATTCCCGTGGAAATGAAATTTGGTAAATTTTAGAAAACATTTTATGACATGAAGCAGTTTATGATATAATACAAAACGTCATAAAATATTTCCTGTGCTGATGTTTGTGCTATACTGTTCACCGTGGGCTAAACAGTTTATGACCTAATATGGAATGCCATAAAATACTTCCTGTGCTGATGTTTGAGTATGCTAAACAGTGCCGCGTGGGCTATTTTCAAAGCGGAGAGGGCATAGGGGTGTGTGTGTGTGTGTGTGTGTGTGTGTGTGTGTGTGTGTTATTCTACTCACTAACTTCAGTTAAAATGAGAACAAATAGCCTACCTGCCCATGATCGAAATGCTGCCACAATTCCCATTTTACTAGCAGAAAGCCGTGCTTCTCTGTCCTCTCTGTTAAAAAAAGATTAATAAGTAAAGACTGTTATGTTTTATGGTTTTTTTAAATAGTATTGCTGTAAAGAGCTTATTCCACAAATTAGGAATCTGGGAATAGCAGAGAATGATTGTGTACTTACTTGAGCTGTCCTTCTGCAGTGTCTGGATTATGCCTGTAGTGAAAGTCCGTGTATGGAGCTAAAATCCGCTACAATAAAGAAGATTCCTATTACCATTTATATATTATTATCATATGTAAATCTATTTAAATGCTTTTAAAAATATGTTTTGTCAATCAGAAGTTTCTTACTTTTTAACAAAACTGCCAAGATACAGTTGATCTGGGCTTTTAACATGAAAATATGTATCTTGCCCCTGCATCCAATTTCTTATTTTTAAAGGAAATAGTGTAGAAAGGAAAGGCACTGGGAGATGCTATATACTAATTTATTAACTTTATAAATATCAATTTATTTTGAAAAAAGGAATAATTTATATACATATGCAAGTATCAAATTTCAATGTTAATAGATAATATTCTGTTATTAGAAGGCAAAGCTTCAAAACTTTATGCAATGTACAAGGAGTCTTTGGTTAATGGCTTCCATGTTTAGCAATCATTCAAAGTTACAGCAATGTTGAAAAAAATAACTTTATGATTAATCCTTGCACTTATGACTGTCACAGCATGCTATAGTTATGTGATTGTCTTTTGCCCATTTCACAGTCCGCTTCCAACAAGCATAGTCAATGGAGAAGCCAGCAGTAAAATCTTGTTACGTTATTCCTTAACATCTACCAAAGTGAGACAGTAAATCTATCATGGTCATGTGATGTCTTGATTAGTGACAGAGTAGCGGCTCCCAATTGTGGTTGCTAATAAACACATTAATGCAATTATATTTAAAATTACCTCTAATTCCACATCAGCTCGCACATATTGTCGGGTATTTGGATGATTAAGAAGATGTAGAACAGTCGTTATGAGAGCTTCATTTATACGGCTTAATTGACAATCTATCACATTTTTCAAAATGGTACTTAGACCACCACGGAACGCAACTATTTCTGGATTTTGAATCGCTGAAAGAGATTATTCCATTTTAAAGAGTATTAAATATTTTATAATTTTGATAGTATTTAATAACTAATCATATTTCTACAAACAGAAATATTTAAATGTTAACATTAAATTAAATCTTATATTCATTTTTCAGTGTTATAAAATAATTCTAAATACCTTAAATTCTTCCAAGATTATATAATTCTTCACCAACCCATACTACATTCCTTTTAGAAACTTTGAGAACTCTTATTTAAGACTCGTTTCAAATTGTTCAAAACACAAATCAGAATAGGTATTTAAGATTTAGCAACAAGTTTTAATTTGTTCAATGGGACTTTCTCTGTGGTTATGTTGCACATGCCATGTATATATTGCAAAGAGTGACCCAATTTCTTTTTTAAAAAATCAGTAATTCTTTAGTACAGATAGCTGAGTTATATTTGGCACAGAATGCTTTGATACAAATCTAAGTTTATTTCAAAAGACATATGGGAAGAGGATGCGATGAAAATTAAACAGCTTTGTAATCTACTGTACAGATTGCCCATTCATTCCAAAATATCGATAATTCTCTCTACTAAATCTCATATTTAACTGAAATACTTTTTAAAAATACTTACCTAATTCACAGATAATAGCAATACATGCACGAACCATCCTGTCCCTCTCTTGCAGGCCATCATTTCCAACAGCTATCAAAGAATTGGTAACTGAACTGGGAAATAATGAAGCATTGACTGTAATCATCTGCAAAGAAATGTAGAAAGAAGGAAGTATTTGCTGCATACATGGCTCAATTAAAGAACAATGTAAAATATTCAATTATTTATATTAAAGAGAACCAGTTTTAATATTTTGTTTTGATATTCTATTCTTAATCTGTAACTTAATTTTTAATTTTATTTTTCAAAAGATAACTCTTGTACTACACCCATACAAAGAATCAGCCCTAAGAAGGGAAACATTACTGCTAAAGCATCTTCAAGATCTTTTTATTCAATTTATCCACAAAAATTGAATAGCAAAAACATAATCAAAAGCTACTTTAAGAGCTGCTGAAAAATACCCCAATAATTTCTCCATCTGAAATGTTCATACAAATAACAATGTCTATGGAAAAGGTAGGAGTATGAGAGTACCATACAGCTCCAAATGTGAACCTTGAAGTTCTGAATGCCCCCATTAAAAATAGGTGATTTAGTTGGGGCCAATTTGACTAATTTTCTAAGATGGAATTTTAAATCATGGTCATCAATAAGGTAAGAAAGTAGAATGGTATTGTTGAGGTAATTCCCCGTTAGCAGAATGAACACATACAGGGAGACGTATAGAGACCAGTCTTTGAATAATACACACACAGCACACAGATACACTGTACAGTAAGTGTAGGTTTTTACTTTCAGAAACGTTAAGCAAAGTTCAAACACAGTCTAAAGTCATTCACAGGTTAAATCAGTCAGTTTTCAATCCAGGGATAATCCAATAACAAAGTCCAGTATCATAAACAGTTCAGTATCAGACTTACATCAAATCCAAAATAGCAGTCAATTATGAGGAACGGCAATACTCTCCAACAGAAGGAAACAGAGACTCACACTCTCTTCTGAGACTAAGACTAAAACAATCCAGGTTTCTGGCTCCATCTTATGGCTGTTTGAGAAACCACACCTACTTACAAGTTTAGCATTCCCTTAAAGAGACAGTATTAAAATGTCTATCCTGGCTTATATATTTCCAACCCAAATACCTGTTAGGTGACTTATATTCCTAACAGGTATATACACATTCTAAACCAGAGTTTAGTTGCAGCTAAGTATATCCTGACTTCCAATAAGCTTTTTCAAATCCTAAAAGTCCTAAAGGGATTTAACGTTTCTTACACAGCTGATCAATGTTAAGTGGACTCTCAAAAAGTGGCCTTGATTATTACAGAATCTTTTGAGGTATTATATTTATCCACTAGAAGCCCTGCATAGCAGCTAAATGGACCTAAAAGATACTTGATGCTTCTTTTATCTGATATTTCTCCTTCCTATCTTAAGCCTTTTCTGAAAGTCCATTGACATTGATTGGCTTTGGAAAGCCACAGGGACTACATGACTGACCCATATTGCAACACTGCTTCCCGAGCTGCACTGGCTGCCAGTTTGCTTCCAGATGCAGTTCCAGTGTTTGGTTATGGCCTTCAAAGCCCTCTATGGCATATTTGATGAGCCATCTCATCCTATTAAGACAGGAGTGTCAAACTTGATTTCATTGAGGGCCGCATCAGGGTTGTGTTTGAACTTGGGGGCCCGGGTGGGCATAGTCAACTGGATGTTACTCGTGTTACCAACATTGTTTTCTACATTGAATAATCAAGCCATTTGCAATATTATTTTATAATCATATAAAACTTGAGATGGATAATTTAGTAAATAACAGTATTGTGAGTTTTCACGTACCTTTCTGACTAAACGAAGTGCTTGTGTTCGTTCTACTTCATTGCTTTGCTGTATATCTATGCATCTAAAATTAAATACATATATATTTATGTACTTATATTTATAACTACCTATAAACATGGTTTATTTTCTCAAAGTTTTGATGTATTAGTTCTTATATCTGGGATTCAGACATTAAAATTCTAGCATTATTGGTTGGTTTGGATCTAGAATTTGCCTCTCAACACACGAAGGCTTTATCCTTCCATGAAAGTTTATCTGTAGAATACTTTTGATGGAAAAATAGTACAGGTGACATTTTCTTATTCTTTTTGAAAACCTACTTTCAGAAGATTAGCAGGGAGAAGTGAAATCTTCTAATACACAGGTGAGGAATTGCACAGGAATAACATAGGGAAGAATGAACTAACAAGAATGATGTTTTTCACTTTCTCTCAAATTACAAGTGGCTAAAAATGCTCAAATCAACCCAAAATTATTTTATGGGATATAATGATGAGATTCAACTTCTAAACATTACTGAGGTAAAATAATCCAAATAGATAATCCTTGATTTATGGCAATTGGGGCTGGAATACCGGTTAAGCACAGGGGTAGTTAGGCAAGATATCTACACGACCGCTTCACTCAACAACCACAATCCCAGCTCTCTCACTTGTGGACATTAAATGACCATATGAATAATTAAAAAGACAAAATGAAAGAGTTGCCTGATGCAGGCAGGAAAGCAGTTCCCTTCCATGTGCAGAAGGAAACTCCTGCAATGGGACTCAGATCTTTAGCAATAGCACTTACATATAGCTTCATAGTGTTCTACAGCCCTCTCTAAGCGGTTTACAGAGTCAGCATATTGCCCCCAACAATTCAAGCTTTATTTTTACAACCTACCACAGAAATTCCTTCCATGTGGAAGAGAATGCCTGTGATTGGCTGGAGAAACAAAATTCGGATCTATGGAATGCAAGCTTCATTACTCCAATCCAGTGAAGGAGTGCCCCTCTTCCCATTCACAGAAGGAAACTCCTGCAGCGGGTTGCAGAAACAAAGATCAGATCTGATGATTGGAGCTTCGTTTCTCAGCCCAATGGATTTCCATCTATCCACCCCACAGTGTGTGGAGGGGATGAGGAATGCTTGGTACAGGTGAGAGCAGCTTGCAACTTTCCCTGTTGGCTTCTCTACTGACTTTCTGGGGAGGTCAGTAGAGAAAATTCTGAATGGCAATCACATGATTATAGGGCGCTTGGCAACCAGTCTTTACTGGGAACAGGTTACCAAGCACCCAGGATCACAATCATGTGACCACGGGGAAGGAGGGGCAACATTTTACAATGGCCAGAAGTGCTTTTTAGAGCATCCTTCCCATCTTAACTTCAAACAGTTGTTAAACAACCCATCGTAAGTAGAGGATGACCTACATTTGCCTCAAAACCTCCATCACAAACTGTTCCAGGCCATTCACTTATAAATGACTGTAACTTTATTGTTCCAAATCATAGTATCAACAAGATTATATCAACAGAAGGAACAACAGAAGAGTCACAAAAATATACAGCAGACTCTGTAGACGCTTTTATTAGACTAATATGTGGCTAATGTTCCCAAATGCTTCTATATGTTGGCTTATGTGATTGAAAGCAGAATTTCTGTATATACATGAATCCTGTACAAACATTGAATATACATAAAGCAGTGGTGACGAACTTTTTTGGCACCAGGAAAATCTAATCCCTGATGATCTGAGGTAGAGCTGAGGTTGTAATACTAGTGCAGGGGAGTAGTTGCAAATATAGATGAAGCTTCACTTGCTTGTTGCTCACTTCCAGCTGTGCAGCCCAATTCCTAACAGGCCACAGACAAGTGCCAGTCCGTGGCCTGCTGGGGACCCCTAACATAAAGAACATGATTCCAGTTCGAGGAAGGTCTAATTACAAATTTAATAATACAAATGGACACTGTTGATGGGTCATATACACAACCGATACTTATGAAAAATCCAAGCAGTTCCAAATCACATTATTTCAGTATTATTTTGGTAATTACCTGGCTATTAAGTAATCCACTTTCAGTTTTAATACCTTCTGTAAAATACTGGAGTCTCTGATAAGATATCGAAGAGCTCGGAGTCCTGCTGCTCGCACCTCTTTCGCTTCATTTAATAAAGCTAACCGCAAACTGTGATGATAAATAAGTCATTCAGACTATAAATGATCAAAATATATCCAATTTATATTCCTCAAACCCATTTTATGTGATTAACTTCCTTCGTCTAACTATTTTTAACACTACGGTATCCAAAATGTGTTTTTACAACATCTACATCAGCAGCAGCTAATAATGTATAAATTCCTATGTGACTGAAATATTATTGAATATTTAATGTATTATTTATTTAATCAAATTAAAAAGAATAATACAGTATGAATCTAGAGAGTGACACAAACATAAAACATTTTACACTTTGGTGTAGATATTAATTGTTGAAACTAAATCAAAACTATCACAAAGATAAAACAATCTCTGCAACATTTAAGGAATTATATAACCCCAAAGTTGCAAATGTTTTTAACAATTAACCCATCAATCCCAATTAATTGTTTTGTTTCTTTCATTAAAAGTTGTAAAGAGCTTAATTTCTCCCAAAACTCATGTCTATAGTTGTAAGAATACAAACAAAGGCAAATTATTCACTGTTTTCAATTAAGGAGATAGACCTCTTTGAAACACATGGCCTAGTGACATGCGTTTTTAGATGACCTTGGGAGCTTTTTCAAAAAAAATATATTAAGATTTACATTATTTGGCTATTCCATTTTATAGCCAGTAAAAATCCATTAACTTTACACTTAAAAAGTACTATTTTCTGTTGTCCGGATTCATTTGATACCAGAATGATCAAAAGTGAAATGGATTTTTATGGAGTAAAAATCACTACAAAGCTAAATGTTTTCAACATTACACTGGTATATCAAATTTTTCCCAGAGGTTTTCAGCTTAGCACATTTAAGATTTTGAAAGTCAGAAGAATGCCAACTGGGTAAAAAAGTACATGGAATCATGTTCGCAACTTCTAAAAAGAACTGTGCTTTTTTCTACGCTTATGACGGCCTTTAAGAGTGCAAACAGTTGTTAAGTTTATACTATCAAAGTTCTAGAAGACTTTTCAGAAACCAGATTTAAAATACGGCATTGCTGTGATTCTTAAATTAAATCCCCAGTAAACACAATGATATAATTTAAAAAGTTTTTAAAAATAAAGTTAAATCTTTAATCAAATGTCCAATTGTAAGATACAGGTAAGGTCAATAATACCTATTTGATATCTTTAACAGGTGTTTATTATTAATATACAAAATAAAATGGGAATTCTTTACTATTCCAATGTGTAGCTAGTAAAAGTCTGGTTATTTTAAACAAAAATAATTTTAAAGGGTTTTGTTCAGGTCTTTAACAGTAAACAGGATAAATTATATAAAAAGCTTATGTTTAAGATATCAGCTGGGCATAAATCCCAACTGTTCATCAGGGACAGGAGTAACAATCAACCTAATAATCACTACTGCTCACAATTACTATTGTTGGATCTGAAGAACTAGTTGCACCTTAATCCCTTTCCACATTTATCACCCAATACAACTTGGAATTTCTAGCCTTTTGTTCTAATTCTATCACAAACCATCTTCTCTGGATAAAACCACTTTCTGATTTGTTATTACTTTAATCCAGAATTCCAATCATCAGATTACTATTTACAACAGATAACACTTACCATATGATGATATCTTCGTAAGTAAAACCTAATTTTTCTTCAGTATGACCAGCATTACAAAGAAGCTGCAAGATATAAATTTCAGTACTTTCAACAACAGAATTAAAACAATTTTCAATAAGCAAGTTCAACCAACCATTTCCTCACATCTACACTGCTTCCCAGTTAACCAACCTGAGCATTTTTCCAAGATATTATTAGAAGAGAAAGAAATAGCCTGGCTGAATTATTGTCATTAACATTAAATTTTGAAAGATGATTTTAAAAAAACCAAGCTATTGATATCTGGATTGACTGAAACATTCTTTATTTTTCAGATGTATGCAAGATTCTAAAATTAACTTAATTACTCCAACTACCCTAAAAGACACAAATTTAAAAAATGTACGAATTCTTTGGTTTCTCTGCAAACATCACACAACTCTACACAATCTTGAATTTTAAAAAAATTATTATCACTCGCATCTTTATCTAATTCATTTTTTTGGCAAAGCTACTACCACTTTTAAAGCAAAAGTCACCAATATAATTTTGTTTCAATACTGCATTCTAATCACTGCGCCATCGCAGCTCCTAATTCAAAAGCAGTTCTTGAATTATATAAAACATAATTGTCAGACTGCCTCCATATAGTCTCCACAATATCAATGAAGTCACATAATTATGGCTTGCTGAAAATATTATTTTTAAGAAGATTAAAGAACTTTGGGAAGTTTAATTGTGACTTTTACTACATGAAGCACCACAGTTTTACTTATTTAATTCACAGAATTTCTAAATTACAATATAACAGAAACATTTGTTTCACATATTTCCTTTTTTCTTTTAAAAACTACCATCAAGTTAATCACAGTAATATTCCAATAAACCTAAGAATCCCTGCATAAAACTTGGAGGCAGCTCTTTTGATATTAGGAATATGATTGAGATATTAAAAATTATGTCTAAAGACCTTGAAAGTGGGGTCCGAAATTTCATCAAGTGGGAGGACAGGAGATCGGAGGTGAAGAAGTCTGGTGCAGGCTTCGAACACCTTTTCTGGCGTCAGGAGCGATCCCCCAGGGATACATGAACCCCGGAGAGGTTCGTGTCAACGTGGAGATCCTCGAGCTGCAGAGGGGGGAAGGCAACTCCCCAACAGTGAAGAGGGAAGCTCCCGAGCTCGGCGCTAAAGAGTAAGCTGTCATTTTATGGCGGCTTCCAATCCGGTCTGCCACTTGAGTGAATAAGCAAAGCAGTGACAGCCTGCGAGATCCAGTAAGAGGAACAGAGAAACGGTTTATATCTTGGATTCTTTGAAGTCTGAAGGGAGTAGAATGACAGAAGAATGATAGCATAAATTCTTCTCTCCTGGTTGTGATAAGCACCTCTTGGAAGTCGGGCGGAGAGCGGCCAGAAAAGCAATTGGGGAAGCTTTGGGGAAAAAGAGAGATTGCTAAAACCTGGAGATTGGAGATCCGGAACTGGTCTGAGCACAACATGACTATTACTATTACATCTACTTAATATTGGGGAGAAGATAAATTGAGCATTATATTGGACTTTGGAAGATTTGTATGTGGATTTAAAAGTTGGAAAGCAAAGAAAGAAGCAGCAGCAAGAGGAAGAAGCCAGAGGCGAACAGAACGCTGGTAAAGACGGTTTTGGGACTGCAGATTAGTCAGCACTTTTCACCATTTGCTGATTGGAAGGCTGAAAAGAAACCTCTAGCTGGAAGATGGAACTTTAGCTCACCCAATTTGCTCTCTTTATTACGTGGTACTACTTAAGTTTACTAAGTTGGCACTATTTTCTCTTTAAGATGACTTCCTTGTGGTTGTTTGTTTGTTGATTTTCTGAAGCTGTGGTAATCTCTCTTCTACCCCTTCTCTTATTATCTTGCCCCTTGCCTCCCTATTGTATCTCCTAAACACTTTACATAATTTTACTTACTGGGGGGGGGGGGGGAAGAGGAGGATACACTATTATCAAAGAGTTAAGAGTTTACTGTTGTAAGTATTAATAGTAAAAAGGGATAAACTTTGTTGATATAATCTATTTATAAATTATTTAGACTACTTACGACATTTAAGATTAATTCCTTAAAGTGTTAATTGATGTACTATTGTTGACCAATTTTCTTATTACATTGACTAGAATATTGTTGCAGATCTCTATTTATGATATAGGGGAAAAGACTGTGGAGTGAGATATAAAATTGAAATACGTGAATAGTCTTTCAAGTACAGAACCCAAATACTGAATGGTGATTTGGGATAATATATTTAATATTGTGCATCAACAAAAACAAATACTTAGAGAGATGACATCCACAACAACTATGGCCTTAAAAACAGGAAAGAAGGCTATCCCGACCCTATCGACTACGTTGACAGCCACCCCACCAACATCTCAAAAAACTATCGAGGAGTCTTTAATAGGGGAAAAGCAGCCCAATGTCCCCAATATTAATATACAAACTTCCATATTAGCCTTGCAGGAAGCTATATCTAAAATGCAAGAAATGATGATTAATAATCACAAGGAAACTAGAGCAGATATAAGTGAATTGAAAGATGAGATGGGGAAAATGAAGGCTGAAATGAAAGCGGATATAGCGAAGGTGGAGGGTAAGATAGGGTCTCTACAGCAGGCCATGGAGAGAAACGAAGTGAAAATAAAAGATATAGAGAGTAGAACAACACGCATGGAGTCTAACTTTGAAAGGATGGATGAGGAATTTAAAAATGTACTTAGAGAAACGGAAGACTCTCTGATCCACCTCGAGATGGACAAAGCAATGGCGTATTTAAGATTCCAGAATGTGGCGGAAGCCAAAAATGAAGAATTGGAACATTTGATGGCAGAAATATTGGCTGAATGGCTAGGAAAGGAAAAAGATGATCTAATTAAAGAGTTTGATGAGGTATATAGGGTTAGCACAAGCTACGCCAGGCGTAACAACTGTCCAAGAGAAATTCATATCCGCTTCTCTAGGAGATGTCTGAGGGATTTAATTTTGAAAATGTCTAGGGAGGAAACAATATCATATAAGGGCAGAGAAATTAGGATTTTAAAACAAATTCCAAAGAGAGTGAGGATGATAAGACAAGATTATAAATTTTTAGCTAATGATTTAAATAAAGAAGGAATCCATTTTAAATGGTTAATCCCGGAAGGGATGTTAATTACATGGAAAGAGAGGAAAATCAAAATAGAATCGATAGAACAGGCCCAAGTTTTTCATCAACAGCTCACAGATAAGAATAGTCAACCCACCAAAGAAGAACCTAAAACAAGACCACAGGAGGTCCGATATTATCACAGAACCCAAAAGGAACGACTTTCTTCAATTTCAAGAAGTGATAATCCACAACATGGGAGAGAAGAGCAAATCCCACAACAACAACAACAAGAGAACCGAATCATTACTAGGCAAAAATCTAAGCAGAAGTAGATAAATGGTGGAGGGGAAGAAGTTGCTCTCCATCAATATAAACGGATTAAATTCATTATTAAAAAGAAAAAGGATATTCTCAAAACTTATTCAACATAACGCAGATATAATATGTCTTCAAGAGACACATATTTCGAAGAATGACGAAAGATATCTAATTTGTCCAAAATTAGGTAAACTTTTTACAGCACCGGCCGACCAACACAAGAAAAAGGGAATTGCAATTTATGTAAAACAAGATGTAAAGGCAGAACTAATCTGGTCGGATCCCGAAGGAAGAACTCTGGTTATACAAGTTTGGATAAACCACATCACATTTTTACTTGTAGCAATCTATGCCCCAAATGATGACCAGGGGAAATTTTTTAAACACCTTCACCAAAAAATAGTAGGCTTTGAAAAAAGAAACATTTGCTTGATTGGCGATTTTAACTCCATTGCAGACTACCAGAAAGACCATAGTAATATGGGGAAAAACAAGAAGGGGAAAAGGGAACTCTCTGCAGCATGTAAGGAAATGTTGAGAGAGTTAAATTTAAAAGATCTATGGAGGGAACGGAATCTTGAAGGAAAACAATTTACATATTATTCTAACCCACATAAGACTTGGACCAGAATAGATATGGCTTGGATGGATTTGGACTTGGCTAATGAAATAAAAGAAATCAAAATTCTACCGAATGAATGGGCTGATCATAACCCAATACAGCTAATTTGGAGGGATAGGAGACGAATAAAAAAAAGATGGACACTAAATAACCAAATTGTAAACGAAGAAGAGTATATTAATAAACTGAAAGAGGAGCTAAATTATTTTCTAAAAGATAATAATAATGAAACAACTTCAAAACAGAACATTTGGGATACTATGAAAGCAATTATAAGAGGCACAACAATTTCCTATAATGCTATGAGAAACAAGAGAATTTATGCCCAACAAAACGCGTTACAACAACAAATCCAAGACTTAGAAACACAATTACAAAAAACCCCTAAGACCCAAGGACTACAAAATCAGTTAATACTAGCCAAACATAAGCTGAATTTAATTGAACAAGATAAATTAGAAGTTAGCTTGAGAAGGTCCAAACAAAATTATTTTGAACACGCCAATAAACCAGGAAGATGGCTATCTTATAAACTTAAAAAAGAAAAAGAAAAGAGATTGATACACCAATTAATAGATGAGAAAGGCATCCCACAACATGAGATTGAGAAGAAAAAGGATATTATATTAAACTATTTCCAAAGATTATATAAAAAAGAAGAAATCAATGAGGATAAAATAAGAACTTATCTGGAGAATACGAATGATAAAACAATAGGGGAAGGAGACAAAGAATTACTAAATAAGGATATTACATGGTCTGAGTTAAAATCTGCAATGGAAAATCAATGTAATAATAAATCCCCTGGTCCAGATGGGATTCCAGTAGAATTATATAAAGCCACATTAGATTTAGTAGGGCCTCTGATGCTGGAAGTGTTTAATGAAGTACTTTCGGCTGCCAAAATGCCAGACTCATGGAGGGAGGCGTTGATTGCGTTAATTCCGAAGGAGGATGTGGATGCCAGATATATCAACAATTATAGACCAATCTCACTTTTAAATGCCGATTATAAATTATT